TATTTCGCGCGAGTGCGGAAACGAAACTAGCGCAGAAAATGCACTTTCCAACGAGTTTTGTACACTATTCTTCCCACGACCACGAATATTTATATTATATGTCATGAGTGTTTATAAGACCAGAGTAGGGATCATGTTTCTAATCATATTCGATCACATGAAGGTGATATCATTATCATTATTATTTAATTTTGCTTCAATATTTAAATGACATCATTAGTTCAACGTTGACTCAACATTAACTTAATATGAACTTAACATTAACTCAACATTATCTTAACATCAACTTATCATCCACTTAACATCAACTTAACATGAATTTCACAGTTTCTTAACATAAACTTGGAATTAACTCAACATTAACCCAACATCAACTCAACATTAACTTAAAATTAACCTAACATTGACTTAACATCAACTTAACATTAACTCAATGATTATTCAACAGTAACTCAACATCAAATCAACATTAACTCAAAATTAACTTGACATTACCTTAAAATCAAATTAACATCAACTCGATATCAAATTGACATTAACTTCACATCAATCACTAAATTTCCAATACATTGACATTAATTCAACTTTCAATTGAAATTAACTTGGTTTCAACTTTTCATCAACTTAACATTACGTCAACATTAACGACAATAACTCATGTTAAATCGACACTAACTTTCCATTAACTTGACCATAACTTAAATCACCATAATTCAGCATAATAATCATTCATTGGTAGATTGGTACATCATAATCTATAGACCCTGTTACTGTGCGATTTTCGAATATTTCCACCCATGTGAGTTTTACTTTCGAACTTTCTAACTGTTATATGTTGTCATAGTGAAACACGAGTCACTTTCTCAATAACAAATCATTGTGTTTTGTGCTGTTTTCATAGGTGGTCTCCTGTCAGGAATGAAATTACATGGAAAATATCAGGAACTTTTTTTTATGTTCTGGTTCCCACGAAAAGGGATTTCCTGTAATGTTCAGAAACTATCGTGAGAATCAAGGGAATCAAGGTACGAATTGGTGTTCTTCTTAAATTTCTGGAGATTATATGTCAATGTATTGGCAATTTAGTGATTAATGTGAAGTTAATGTCAATTTGATATCGAGTTGATGTTAATTTGATTTTAAGGTAATGTCAAGTTAATTTTGAGTTAATGTTGATTTGATGTTGAGTTACTGTTGAATAATCATTGAGTTAATATTAAGTTGATGTTAAGTCAATGTTAGGTTAATTTTGAGTTAATGATGAGTTGATGTTGAGTTAATGTTGAGTTAATTTCAAGTTAATGTTGAGAAACTGTAAAATTCATGTTAAGTTGATGTTAAGTGGATGATAAGTTGATGTTAAGATAATGTTGAGTTGATGTTGAGTTCATATTAAGTTAATGTTGAGTTAACGTTAAACTAATGATGTCATTTAAATATTGAAGTAAAATTAAATAATAATGATAATGATATCACCTTCATGTGATCGAATATGATTAGAAACATGATCCCTACTCTGGTCTTATAAACACTCATGACATATAATATAAATATTCGTGGTCGTGGGAAAAATAGTGTACAAAACTCGTTGGAAAGTGCATTTTCTGCGCTCGTTTCGTTTCCGCACTCGCGCGAAATATGTCACTTTCCACACTAGTTATGTAATATACTATTATTACCCAGTTGTATTGAGCATCTCATTCAACATCTTTCTATCACTTCTATTTTCCAAAAAAATATAGTTCAGGAGATAACTCTAACTAATGAACAAATGGATTCGATATTTAGAGTGACATGAAAAATAATAATGATTTCTAACAACAAGCGTCGAATCAACCCTAGTACGGGCGTCCCTTTCAAAGTTTAACAAAAAACTATTATCACATTTGCGTAATTGGTCAATTTGAGGATAATCGGTAAACATCCATTGAATCCATTGAAAATAATATCAGAATTAGCTATACTGACAGTATTATCTATTAAAAGTTGGTATATACATATATATATAATGTTTCCATTTTCTCTCGTTTTCGCTCGCTTCTCTCGTGGTGTTTTCTCTCTTCTCGTCTCTGGTGGACTTCTCTCCCGTTTCGTCTCGCCCCAAAATGCGAGAGAAGAATCCTTCTCTCGTCTCGTCTCAATTCTCGTAAAACAGGTCTCTCCATGTAGTGGTCGACGGAGTTTCATCTGACTCTCTGAAGGATCAATTCTAGCACCAACACTATTTCTTCTCAATATCAACGATTTGTTGAAAGCAACTTCATGTCCAGTACACAGCTTCGCGACTGATAGTACCCTCCATACCACCTTCTCTTCCAGGGCTCCAATACCAGCCTTGATACTTGGTAACAACTCTCGAACGGGGATCCAATAACTTGGTGGATTTCAATGCAAACAAAACATAAGCATGTCTTTTCTCTAGAACAGCCGATCTCACTGTGCCCAACAAAAGCTTGTCAGGAGTAACCATACCTTCGACATCCATTTCGATGATTGATATTACTATCAGCAATAACCTTTTCCAGATACGAGAGAGATATCGATTGTGTGCTCGGTCATAACTGGTAGATAGGCTCCAGCAGCTGAAGTTTATTGTTTACTAGCATTTACTAGCATCACAGAAAATATGTAGGCCAGTCCTAATCGCTCATAATTGGATATTCATAAGGTATTATTACTAACGTATTGATGTTTCTGATGGTGCTTCTCAACTCGCAGAAAGTGAACACTTAATTTGGGCTGTTATTTGATCAATGATTTACGAAAATTCCAAAAAAACTTCAGGATTCTGTATCTTCCAAAATATTTTTTTCAAAATAATGACATATTTCATTTCTTTCAGTTAATTCGTCTTTTGTGACCCACTCCATTCATCGCTGGAAATTCTGAACTAGATTATTTTCCTGATATTAGGAAGAAGTCGGTAGGTAGAAACGTATTTAAAACGTAATCGTGATCTAGACATTGATTGTATATTGAGAGCTTATAAGTATATACCTTCCAACTCATGTCCGTTCTCATGCTTTATATATGTTGTACATTCATGGAATGATCATAAAACCTATTGTATACATAATATACAATGCCCGTAACTTCGCGTAACATTGCGATCAAAATTAAATGACTCAGATTCCAGGTTGCTTTTGGTTTTAAATCCCCACGAACAGAAGAATTCCGAAGGAGATGGTTGATGAGTGATGGTAATTATGTTATGCCATTGTTTTGAAGTTATAAATCATTCACCAATTATTGTTATGAGGAAGTGATCGTGATCATTTTGATGATAACAATAATTTCACAATCTTCTTGAGAAGAATATGATTGATTAGTGATTATGTGACGTGTATTGCTCAATGTACAACTTGATATTGTCGACTCACTTCGTTCCCTAAATAATATATGGCTGGAAGGGGGCACTTCGCCGAATGGACAAGTCGCCGACTATTCGGTCAAAACGCCGAAACAGATCCGTGGACACTTTGATAGAAGTTGTCATTATGCCGGAAAACGCCAGTGAACAAGTTGTAGAAACTGGGACATTTCGCCGAAAGTAGTCAAAACGCCGAAACAGCTATTTGGACACTTCGTCGAAACTGGTCTGTATGACGAAACCGCTGTTCGGAAATTTCGCCGAAAGTGATGAAATTGCCAAAATATCTCTTTGGATTTTTTTTTCACTTTGTACTTCCCCATTTCTAAAGGCTGAAAGAACTGCTATACAGCATATCTAATAAAAACGTAAAAATCTTATAATGTGGCTATAAACCATTATACGATGTCTCTACAACCAAAAAGGGCCCCAGTTCAGTTATTTTATGACATTTGTTAGTAAACTACACAACCGTTATAGTATAATCAATAATGTTTATATAAATGTCCCATGAGTATATGTCTTTAAGATTACTTATACAATGCATTCACATAAACTATTTGGGAACTGCTATAAAACTATTATATAGCAGTGCTATTATTCTGCGTTTTAACCATCAAGAACTACTAAGAAAGTATTTTTATATTTCATAATGCGAACAGAATCGTTAATATGACATTTCTACTGTTGAAATTCGGAATAGGATTGTCACAAGAATATCTAATGAGGTATATGTAGGGTGATAGAGTTATTATTTTATCTGTTGTTAATCATATTGAAAATATTAAAAACCTATATCGCTACTCCAGGGGCCCAATTTATTTGCGCAGATAACTTTTCTAAAAAATTGATGCACCTCAGATTAGTGCATAAATTTCATCGGTAGGATTATTGAAAAATAAAAAATTAAGTTTTATTTGTTGATTATTCAACTAGAAACAATAAAACATGTTAGTATTGTGGCTGTTATGGAAGAGGAAAAAATATCTAAATTTCTTTAAGAAATCTATTTTTATTTTACCTTTTTACGTTTCTATATGATTTTTTCACAATGGCGGCGGTTTCTGAATAGCCGAACGGTTAATAAATATGGCGTGTATGGTTGAATACAAATTATAAACCTTATGCAATGATTCTGTTTTCTTCTGTGCTGTATACGATATTGGAGTAATATTATGTTGTCCTAAAATTGTTCTTGACAGTCTCAGGATTCAGGTGCGGTTTGATTCTTGATCACTTTTGAATGTTGCTAGATTTAATAATACACATAAAATATTTTTCCCACAGCGTTTTGTATTTCACAGAAGAAATAGTTAGATATTTATATTAAGGATGAGGACTATTGGACTACGAGTATAGTGAGTGGTCAAACAATTCATTGTTACGTCGCAGTTTCGCATAAAGTGCACAAGATTTTTTGCAATAATTATTCAGTTATTATGTGAAAAAAGTTGTTTTCTTACTGAAAATAAAAGGATTTGTCGAAATATTGTGTTTGTGTATATGACGAAACTCCCTTTAGCACAAATTTACTGTTAGAAGTTACGATGAACCCTTATGACAATCGGTGTCAAATGGATGAATTTCCATAATTGAATTGCAGAACAAACATTGTAGGTTCATTTAGAACATATTGAACTACAATAAGATGTATCATAATAAAGTAAATAGTCTGACTATTTATTGTCACTAATTTTATGTATGTTGGTGTGAATTAAGTAATATCGTGAAGAGCCTTTACCCAACACCTAACATAACCCAACCCAATCAGAAAAATTGGTGCTTTACAATTGACTAAAATCAATATGATTTGACCGATCTGAGATACAGTGACTGACAGATCAACAGAACCACATTTCCTGAAAAGAAGGTTCAGTTGGGACGAGGGGAGGAGATAAAACCTATGACAAATATCATCAAGCTTACATATTGAATGAAATATAATCCAGCTATTGCCCTGAGGTGAGAATCTTAGTCAATCTCAGTAGAAGTTGGTATGAAGAACCGCTATCATTATCGTTTATGAATACATAATATATATTAGGTATTTATTTATCATTATTGTGAAAATCATCATTCATGAACATTATCAGTTATATCAATGAATCGTCTCCGAGAATTTATATATCACTGAAAAATGATGCATCATTCATGTTAATTATTCTGCAAATGAATAATAGGTAGCGGGATTATATTGGTAATCTTGTGACGATGTGTATCTGATGAAAATATTATGCTTCGTCACATTACGAATTTATTTCATATGACATTTCATTTGTGATTATCTTATATATAAGATTGTAATATAAGTATACTCTTATATTACAACCATCCATAGGTACTATTTTGATTCCAGATAAAATACGCACTGTGACAAGATGCCCAGTGTTTTACACGAGAATACAACCGCTTTCAAGAAGGCCACTTTTGGATTGGGATGTTTTTGGGCATGTGATGCCTTATATGGGGCACAACCAGGAGTTCTACGGACCAGAGTGGGATATTCAGGTGGAACCAAATCAGATCCTGTATACAAAAAAATGTAAGTAGGTACCCAGATAGCACATGGATATTCAATGGATATCCACTGGACATCCTTCATGAATTTTATATATGAACTATGGGTATCCAATTCCAAGATATCCATGAAATATCCTTCGATGATATCCATTAGACATACTTTAAAGATATCCATAAAATATTCTTCAGGAATATCCATAAAAAGATATCCTTCGTTGACGTCCGAAAGATATCCTTCAAGGATATACATTCAAGATAATAAGTTCAAGTGATGGTGATCTGGAGAAATACTGATAAATTGATTATATTGAACAAGAAACATTTGATAATGATAATCTACATCAAAAATAAAGTTGGCAATGAATCAAAAATAGGAGTCAACAGTGTTTGTGAATCCTGAACAGTCTTCAGACAATCGGTCCATTTCCATCCTGAATTATCTACTGAAGAATATACAGGGTGTTTCATAATTGAATGCTGATCCTAAAGGGTGATAATCCTTGGATGATTTTAAGAAAAATTCTTCATGTGAACATAGGTCCGTAACAGCTTCGTTTCTGAGATACAGGATGTTGAAATTTAACAAAAAAAATCAGTTATTCCCCAATATCTCTGAAACCGCTCTGGCTTTTTTCTTCATTACAAATACTTAAAAATAGTTAGCATAAAATTATAAAAATATTGCTCAGATCTTTCGGTTACCGCAATTGTGAAATTATGACTAAGAGTAAAAATCGAATAGGGACAAGCAAATGCATGGCAACTCAAAAACCGTTCGCCAGACGAAAAAAAGACAAGCGACCATTTTTATGAGAAGATAAAGGATAATTACAAAAATAATATTCATTTGGAAAAAAGACAGTGGCGTATCATTATTTTGATGAAAAATATGACAGGGTACGTTAACAGGGACGCCACTGATGGAAATTAAGAAATCCTTCATTATGGAAAAAATGTATTTCTATTCATACTCGGCATGTACCAAAATTGAAGAAAAAAGCCAGAGCGGTTCCAGAGATATTGGGGAATAACTGATTTTTTTGTTAAATTTCAACATCCTGTGTCTCAGAAACGAAGCTGTTACGGACCTATGTTCACATGAAGAATTTTTCTTGAAATCATCCAAGGATTATCGCCCTTTAGGATCAGCATTCAATTAGGAAACACCCTGTATATCTCAAATCCTGGTATGGATGTCACATGAATGTCCATTTCAAATCCAGGGATATCCTGATCAGAATTGGACATGTGGAGATTATCCACAGTATATCCTGTGTTATCTGGTTATGTGTTATGCATGTGAAGGGGGGAACAAGTGCACCATGACCTAAAATATCAAAATTGGACCTGCTTATCTGCAGCTAAATCTTCTGAAATACCCATCTTCGTAACTTTATGATGCAGTTTCTTCAATGTTCATTTTGTCAATGAAGGTGCTAGGTCAAGAACTATCAGCTGTATATTCTCCCCAGTAAACATTTTTTTGTTTCTGAAATGTTTCAGAAACGTAGTATTGATGCATGAAACATTGCATTCAAAGTTGCCTACATGTTCCAGAAACATTCCAGAAACTAGAGATGTCCGCCCTCAGGAATGTTTCATGGTAATGTTCCTAAATAATGTGTCGAATACGCAAATTGAAACATTTTGGAAACATTTCTACCATGATCATATCCTGTGGGAATGTTCCATGCAATATTTCATAAATATTTCTTTCGTTATATTACATGAAATGTTTCAGAAATATTCGTGAAACCACAGATATTTGCCCTCAAAACTGTTTCATGAATGATGTTTCGAATACAAATGCTTGAAACATTCTGGAAACATTCCCAATATGATTAGATCTTTAGGAATGTTTCTTGGTACATTCCATGAATATTTTTGAAACGATACATTTTCGCCACCAGAGATCCCACTGAGCAAGAAACATCCTTAGGAGGTTCATTAACGTTAAAATATTGTATCCCCGGCGACGTTTCTGCGAACACAGCACTTGTACGTCATAATAACATAACTATGTGACATTGTTACTTTTAACGAACCTTCTATATCATAAGTTAAACTTTGCTACTTTATATTAACGTCACTAATGTGATTGTTATGTTGGTGGACATATAACGACTTTAAGACGGTCTTTGAGATGTCGATAGGCCTTCGACCAAACGTTACTAGTATGTTTTTTTGCACAGTGGGATGTTTCATAAATAATGTTTCAAATACATATAAATAGAAACATCCTGGGAACATTCATTGTAGAACTTTCGGAAATGTTTCATGAAACATTTCATGAATGTTTTTCATTCAACAATATTACTGTTTATGAAACATTCCCATCAAATGTTTCAGAATGAAAAATACCTACCAATATCGCTGGAATATATTCATATTGCTGGTGAAATAAAAGATAATAGACATAAAAAAATGGATTATATTGCTTATATAATGATATATGAAAAAAGCAGTTATAAAAGTATCATCAGATATTTCACATAATCACGAAGTATTAGGTATGTACATATATATCAAGTAATTTAACATTGTTATTCACATGTTGAGTGCTTCAATATTTTTCTTCGGTTACATCACAATTGAAAGCACTATTCTTGTGCAGCTTCTAGGTCATGATGAAATTTTCACACTCCATCCTAGAACAAAAAGTATCATTATGAATATACCCATCATGATATCTAATAATATTTGATATTTCATCTGAAATTATGGTTTTTCTATATTTATACGTACCTCGGCCTTGTCCATGGAGCCGTTGAATACATTTCAAAGTCCAGCCACACCAGGGGATAATAAAAAAAATGGAGTCGTTTGTGTTGTTTGGTTGCATGTTTTGATGTTACTTCACATGGCCTAAATCACCTAAGAGGTCTACCGGTACGATTGAATAGTAAACATTCGAAAATGTGTTTGACTTGAGTGAAATAATTATATTTTATCACTATTATAAGATATTAGATGTCTTTTGCTTTGCTTGGCTTGAGACAACAGTCGGAAATCGAAAACTACGAAGCCTTTCACCTTTCACCAAAGAGAAGGAAACTGAATGCGCGTGCGCGAACGCTTAGAGCCGAAGACGAGAACCCGCGATCGATTACCGAAGCCACGAAAGCGGCGGCTGTAGAGGGGAAATGCTGAATTGCATCATAATATGATAAAATGCTTGGTCAAAATAGACCATGTATCAGTTGTGAAATAATCTATTTATCTAATTAATTTATTAAAATTCGGGTTATTTTGAAATATTCTTAAATTAACCAATTCAAGTTGCATGTCTTGGAATATTGTAGTAGGTAAGTAATTCCTAATGAATGTGTCAAAATGTCAATAATTTGAGGAGCCTTGCAATTTTTCAAACATATTCCTAACGCATTGGAACATTCCTGAATCAGTATTGAATGATATGTTTCAATTGAAGTGATTTTGAAACGTTTCATTAATAAATCATTCAAGTAATTTTGGAATGTTTCGGAATATATCAATTAAAGTTGTCTTGAAATGTTTCAGAAATGTTGCAATGATATTGAAATATCCCTGGAATGTTCCTGATGATTGATGAATGTTTCCATTATTCAGAATGAGAGTAATATCGAATGTTCCAATCATTTGAAATTCAGGTGATTTTGAAATGTTCCTTAATCGACCAATTTCAGTTGTCTTTTGATATTGCAGTAATTCGCAATAAGAGTATATTTGGAATGTTTCAAAATTTCTATAGTTTGATGAACCTTGAAATGTTCCAAACATATTCCGAACGCATTGGAACATTCCTGAATAAGTAGAAAATGATGTTTCAATTATTCACAATTGAAGAAATTTTGAAACGTTTCATTTATTGATTATCCAAGAAATTTTGAAATGTTTCGGATCATATCAGTTGAAGTTGTCTTGAAATGTTTCAGAACTGGTACAAAGATTTTGAAATATTCCTGGAATGTTCCTGATAAATGTTTCCATCATTCAGAATGAGAGTCATATCGAAATGTTCCAATCATTTAAAATTCAGGTGATTTTGAAATGATCCTCAATCAAGCAATTCAAGTTGTCTTGAAACATTGAAGTAATTCGCAATGAGAGTATATTTGAAATGTTTCAGAATCTCAATAGTTTGAGGTACCTTGAAACGTTTCATACATATTTCGAACGCAATGAAACATTCCTGGATAAGTAGTAAACGATATGTTTCAATTATTCACTATCAAAGTTATTTTGAAATTTTTCATCCATTCACTTCTCAAGTAATTTCGAAATGTTTTGGGATATATCAATGACAGTTGTTTCGAAATATTTCAGGAATATTACAGTGATTTTGCAATATCCCTGGAATGTTCCTGAAAAATTTTTCCATCGTTCAAAATGAGAGTCATATTGAAATGTTCCAATCATTTAAAATTCAGGTGATTTTGAAATGTTCCTCAATCAAGCAATTCAAGTTGTCTTGAAACATTGAAGTAATTCGCAATGAGAGTATATTTGAAATGTTTCAAAATCTCAATAGTTTGAGGTACCTTGAAACGTTTCATACATATTTCGAACGCATTGAAACATTCCTGGATAAGTAGTAAATGATATGTTTCAATTATTCACTATCAAAGTTATTTTGAAATGTTTCATTAATTCACTTCTCACCTAATTTCGAAATGTTTTGGAATATATCAATTACAGTTGTTTTGAAATATTTCAGGAATATTACAGTGATTTTGCAATATCCCTGGAATGTTCCTGAAAAATGTTTCCATCATTCAGAATGAGAGACATATTGAAATGTTCCAATCATTTGAAATTCAGGTGATTTTGAAATATTCCTCAATAAAGCCATTTAAGTTGTCTTGAAACATTGAAGTAATTCGCAATGAGAGTATATTTGGAATGTTTCGAAAAATCAATAGTTTGAGGTACCTTGAAACGTTTCAAACATATTTCGAACGCATTGAAACATTCCTGAATAGGTAGTAAATGATATGTTTCAATTATTCACAATCAAAGTTATCTTGGAATGTTTCATTCATTCACTTCACAAGCATTTTCGAAATGTTTCGGAATATATCAATTATAGTTGTTTTGAAATATTTCAGGAATGTTACAGTGATTTTGCAATATCTCTGGAATGTTCCTGAAAAATGTTTCAATCATCAACATTTCAGGTAATCTTGAAATATTCCCTAAATGTCTCATGTTTACTGGGTCTAAACTGTGCTATCACATCGGATGAGCCTAGAATGGAAATTATGATGTACGAGGCACTCGAGGCAGGCAGTTTTTGGTACTGAGCCTGAAGTCGTACAGCATATGACTTGGCATTGAATATCGAAAATACGGATAATAAACCCAGCGAGCACGAAAACATCTCAGATATGTTAAAAGTACGAGATGTCGAGACATTTAACCTCCACTGAGATGTTCTGTTCATACATAAATAGAACTTTCATATGTCTGCCGCAGGCGGTGTTTATAAAGATATCCTTGGGATGTCACAAAAATACATTCTCCCTGTTTATCTCATAGCCTTTTCATGGACAGAAAATAACCTCCAAAGCGTTTTGCGCACATTAAATCGCTGCAAATGAATCATTCCTGGTGGGTATATTATTAAAATAGAAAAAAGAAAATTTAAAAAGCGCTTTCCCGCTGGGGAATCCAACCTTACTCTCTTATGATTCCATTTTTGTAATCCTTACACCTTGTCCACTGTGCTTTAGGACCCTCATTGATGAATGATAGGAATAGAAATATATCGAGATGCACTTATTCATTAAAGTAGGATAATAATTATCATTGAGGCTAGAGAAGAATAGGGTGAGTCAGGGGAAAAATTATGAATATTGATACAAGAATAAAATCGATATCATATTGTGGTACGATTCTCTATATTCTCAGAATATTCTGAAAATATGTCAAATTGAAGGTTAAATATTTGTTGCCAGGATGAAAATATTCTATGATCATTCTGAGAAGATTCTATCAAATTCTGCTAAATATATTCGTGAAATTTTCTGTGCTGGTGTCGTTGGTATTGTAATAATGGAATAAATAAATGGCGCTGCAAAACGCGAATGCGAACAAGCACAACAAAATCGGAAACAAATCAGAATATTCATCGTATTTTGACGTAAGCAAAAGGCGTTATTGTAGTGGGGCAAACAAAAACAATACTTCCAATATCTTCCAAAGACCTCTTTGGGAAGTTATATCACGTCTCAAAATAACATGCTTATTCCTGAATTTTTTGAACATCCCAAAACACCCCCGGAATACCTCTCAGTAGACACACAAAGAAATTCCAAAGAAGAACAAAAACAATACTTCAATATCCTTCGAAGACCTCTCTTTGGGGAGTGCATATTGCGTCTCAAAAAAACATCTTCTTGTCAATATTTTCAAAACATCCCAGGGATTTTTGTGTTCGCTGGGAAGCGATTCTGGTGTAATCTACATTTATTATTGTGGATGATATCCATTAATTAGATATGATAAGTAGGTATCGCGTGTAGCACCCTTAGTGTTTATTGATTAATAAGAGACTTCACACTGTTTCACCACGAACAAAACCGATTTTTTAACGCATTGACACGTGTTTCGCTAACCATGTTAGCATCTCAGGAGAAGATTAAAACTTCAGTTCAAATTTGGTTTTTGTAGATGCTATTCAATTAGCTGATGGTGTGCTCATATTAGCCCGAAACATTTTTCTTCCTGGCATGACTGATCTTTGATCAGTCGTATAAATGAACTTTATAGTGGTATAGTTGTGAATTCTTGCATCTCGTATTTGCAGCGTGTTTCTCTGATCGCTGAATGGCTATCATCAGCTGTTGATAATAAACTAAAATTTGAATATGCAAAAAATCGACCAGAAGACTTCTCTTATGTTGATTTTAATAAAATTCTTCATTATGATTTCTTTAGATCGAAGCCAGAATATGCGTCGATTATATGGAACCCATATTATCATTATAAATTAAAGGTAACCCTCAAATCCGTCAAATACCACCAATTGGTACATCACACAAGAGTCAAGACATAGCTTCTTCAGCATGGACATGAGACGAAAATGTTCTTGTATACACCCCCATTATAAACAACAATGTTCTTGGGATGATGAAGACAATCAAATTAGAATTACGCTACACAAAATAATTAACAATCAAATTGGATGTCAATAATGCTTACTTACATCTAATAAACTTCGAAAGGACCCCGCACTTTTAGTACGTAAAATGGTTCTCGGTGAAATTTTCTGAATTTCCAGTATGTTGTAGAATTCGATGAACTGATTGAACCTGCAGAATCGTAAAGTTCTTTGATGAACAGATTCTGAGATACAGGGCGTTGAAGTTACGAATCGGTATTTTTCATTTAATTATTTTCTCGAAATTCAAAGATGCCAAGTACAACTTTTTTCGCTCATATCATCAACTAACCTCCATATTACGCAACATAATTCAGATGGTTCAGCGATAATGTAATTGTTTACAGAGTGAAACATATAAACATTTCAGTGATGTCTGAAAATTCGAATTAATAATGAAATATCAAAAAAATAATTTAGGCATGCAATATACTATTCTCATTCCATCATGAATCACAATTCATTCATTTCATACAGGGTGATTTGAAAAATTGGTGACAGCTAAGACCGATTAATTCGCATACACATCCTGTATATTCGAGTGAATTGTTAACCTCCCAAGATAGCTGATACCGTATGAACATGATTTTGTTGAGATATATAGGGTGATCATGAAGATATTCGATGATGAAAATGACAAAAAATCGTGTTTTTTGAAATCACCCTGTTATTCATGATTAACTCGGTGAAATTCTCTGATTATTTTTTAATATATTCATCATTCGCTCCTCAACGCTGTCTTGGAAATTCAGTTTCCTATCATGACGGGTGTCATAGTTATTAATTCAGGAACTTACCATTTGCATGAAGAGTTGAAGAGACACACAAATAGTGAAACGTGAGAATGTGGAGACAATGACGGCTAAATGGACTGTCTGACGGGTTATACATGACTGTTCATTCAGCGAAAATCGCCGAATCGCCCTGTAATGAAATTTTGAAGGGACGGCAAGTGGCGTCATCTATTTCCTGTGTCAAATGAGCTATTCAACATAACCTGCATTCATGATCCTGCATTATTTGTTGACAAATTTTCTTATTGTCAGCCTGACACTCATTGTCACTCGAGATTGGAGAGCTTTGTTCGAGATACCAAGTTAAACTGTGAAAAGGCCAACAAAATGAAGTGGTTAGGAGTGTTCATGCCAAATAACGCTATTATATGCATAAATAATAATGCCCTTCAAGTGGAAATCATCTTCGTCAATTCGTGAATAGGTAAGGACATGTTCAATTATTTCATTGATTGAATTTTTAACTGCCTAATAAGAGCCATGGTAGCCCTTATAACCAGATACTGCTGTATTCTCAAAGTGAAATGTACTGCAACATTTAATATTGTTTCACAAAATCTGTGATCTCAAGTGATATTTCTTAATTTGTATTTTCAGGAAGATACTGAATTTTCTCAACACAATGTTGAAGCAGCTCTTCATGAGGTTTGATTGAATGATGACTGGAGACATTCAATTCTGATGATGCTATCTATGCATAACCAGAATATTTACTATATAAGGTGAGCTTTGTGAACAGTTGTTTAATTAGGTGAGGGTGCAGAAAAATAATCAGGCATTTTAACTACAATATCAGGTATCTCCATGAATAGCAAATTAAATATCAATTTATCATTTCATACTTATATATTTCATATCAGATATACAGATAAATTGTATTGCAAAATTGATAGAACTATGTCATCTTCAAAATCATTAAATGCAACATTTCTTTATAGGTTCTGGGGATGGCAACCATTGAATATAAAACGGCTTGGATATGGGATCTTGACTTTGGAGGATGAAGCTAGGTTACCTGGAGATCCTTTGGACACTGGAAATAAATCATCAATATCATCTTCCTGATATATTATTGTGTATCCCACAATTTATATTATCTGTTCAGAAATCAGCAGTGAAGAAGCATATTTTAAGTTCAAATATAAGCTCATCATCAGCTAATTTGATGGAAAAGGAAATTGTTTATTATGGTGACTGTCTATGGAATAAAATTATTATATTACTTGAATAAATGCTTTCTATACATATCATCTATCTATCTATCAATCCATATTTTCAACCATTTTCAAAACTTTGTGGAAATAGAAATAGTTATATGCATTCAAAAGTTGATTTTGCACTCTTTTCATCTTCTTAGATCTACTTGGGGAAACTATAGTTAGTGGGCTAGTATCAGTGACAACATTTTACCTTATTTCACATACCATCTCATACTTCTATCAAGAAAACAAGAAAGCTATATAGGATCTCATTGATAGATGGGCATACATAATACATTAACTTAGGCCAAATAATTAATTTAAATTTTTTGTGACAAAATCATCACAGCAGTGAAAAACATTTTTGAAAATCTCTGATAGTATCATTATTCTGTGATATTTGCCAGGAAGCAGGAACACAAAATACCTCAAATTGTAGTTATGGCACTCGAAAAAACTCCAGATGTTGGCCTAGACTGATGATGATTCTCTGGGATTCAAAGAGCATACCTTAAATTCCATTCCTCGGGTTCTTGGTGTTGCTTTTTGGGATGCCCATCCTGTAGGTATATGGTAATCTAAGTTTGAACACATGAAACAGTTTTCAACAATACTACACCTACCCTACCTAGGTAAGCAACAACAATGCAGACTAAAACATACCTTGAAAATAATTATGGTAAGGGATCCTTTCTGAATGTATGTCCCCATTCTGATAAGTCGCCATATGTATTAGTGCTATTGATCATCACTCTATAGTGTTTTCCAAAATCATTGACACAAACTTCAACACCAGAATTAACACTAGTGTTCTAATAGTAGAATCGAGGCTGAAATTGAAAATCATCAGAAAAGTGTACATGAAAAACCATATTCTTACCAATGCCTTCCAAAATAAAATTCGACCATTCTTGCTGTGGAGTTTATCATACATGATGAAGACAAAACTAGCAAACCTGAATAAATAAACTACCAGAACTAAACACAAAGAAGAATGCTTGATTGAATGAAAATCCGAAAAAGTAAAGGAATTTATCGATATTCAACAGAACACATCAGGGACCTGACAGTGACAAAGTTTTGACACTTGATAATAATAATAATAATAATAATCCAATATAACCTAAGTTATTGGAAAACAACCGAATGAGAGCTAAACAAATGACTTCTCCGCAAAGGACGGCAAGTAAACCCCTCTGGTGGAGAATACACTGAACTGAGTGATTGGACAGTCATGTAGTACTCGTCAGACAGTCCATTTAGCCGTCATTGGTGGAGACGAAAATAAGTTGAGTATTCATATACAGGGTGAACATTAGAAATTCAATAACAATAGCAGATATATGAATTCAATAATATTAATATAATGTACAGATAGTTAGGCGAATTTCGTTGGTATACAAGCTCTGCCAAAATGAAAAACGAACAATACGTACCTAGGAGATGGGAGAATGATTCGGTCTTTCACGTTTCCATTTCTAATAGGGAGAGTTGAATCCTGGAATCGACAGATTTTTTCTCATTTTTTGTTTTCCACTCAGAATCAGGCGTTTCCATCATTTTCATAATATCATGAGATTCATATTCATATCACATTCCAATGATATAATTCAATACGTATGATGGTGTAATATAAATAATCCTATTATACTGGATGTTTCCGAAATAGCAGCGATAAATATGAAAAGGTGTTGTATGGGACATAATGACAAAAAAATACTGAACTTGTCACGCGGCTACTGATTGATTTCAGATTGGGTGTTGTAACTTAGAATATTCCCTTTGTGGAATTTATTGTTCATCAATTTATGAAGACTTGAAGAAACTTGTTCATTTACATTCGTCAAGTGGCCGAGATTTTTCACAAATAGTGAAACGTGAGAATGTGCCCAGACAGCACTGGATATTCATAGAATATTCTCTAAATATGCTAAAAAGGAGGAGTATATTCCGAATATTCATCGATTATTCCTAGAATATATACATGCCTCTGGAACATCTGAAAGGAATATTCCAAAGTGAATAGTCGGACATGTTCAGGGAATATTCAGGTATGAATCTTCCAGGAATATTCCCAACTGAATATTCTCTGTTGTATATTCAGGAAATATACCCAGCTGAATATTCTGTGCGGTATATTCATGAAATATACCCAACTGAATATTCTGTGCGGTATATTCATGAAATATTCTCAACTGAATATTCTGTGGTGTATATTCATGAAATATCCCATGAATATTCCTATGTTTCTCAACACATAAATACCATTTATTATTCCAGAGATGTGAGTGTTGAACATCAATTAGATGTAAGGGGATTTTGAAACAAAAAGTGTTTATGATCCGATTTCGAACAATGCTCTCACAAGAACTTGATATGTATAACATTATTCAATTCGATTACTGGCCTAGTGGTCAAGGCGTTGCTCTGATAGTCTTGAGGTCACGAGTTCGATCCCTACTTGGGTCACTTTTTTTATTTTAGAATATGTTTATTGGGATATTCCAGGAACATTCAACGTAGAATATTCTTTTGGGTATATTCTATGATTATCTGAGGAATTCCCATTCGCATATTTAGAGAATATTCCACAGATATTTCGGAATATTCCAGATTATTTCTAGAATATTCCAATATTCCAAAAGGAATATGATAGGGAGATTCATGGAATATCTGGTGCTGTCTGGGTGGAGATCAAGTGTAACATAAATGATATATGAAGGCCCATTTTGGCAGAGCTTGTATACCAACGAAATTCGCCTAACTATCTGTACATTATATTAATATTATCAAATTCATATATCTGCTATTGTTATTGAATTTCTAATGTTCACCCTGTATATGAATACTAAACTTATTTTCGTCTCCACATTCTCACGTTTCACTATTTGTGAAAAATATCGGCCACTATGCGAATGTAAGTGAACAAGTCTCTTCAACTCTTCATGCAGATGGTAAGTTCCTGAATTAATAACTATGACACCCGTCATGATAGGAAACTGAATTTTCAAGACAGCGTTGAGGAGCTAATGATGAATATATTAAAAAATAATTAGAGAATTTCACCGAGTTAATCATGAATAACAGGGTGATTTCAAAAAACACGATTTTTTGTCATTATCATCATCGAAAATATTCATGATCACCCTATATATCTCAACGAAATCATGTTCATACGGTATCAGCTATCTTGGGAGGTTAACAATTCACTCGAATATACATCGGGATGTGTATGAATTAATCGGTCTTAGCTGTCACCAATTTCTCAAATCACCCTGTATGAAATGTATGAATTGTGATTCATGATGGAATGAGAATAGTATATTGCATGCCTAAATTATTTTTTTGATATTCCATTATTATTTCGAATTTTCAGACATCACTGAAATGTTTATATGTTTCACTCTGTAAACAATTACATTATCTGAACCATCTGAATTATGTTGAGTAATATGGAGGTTCGTTGATGATATGAGCGAAAAAAATTGTACTTGGCATCTTTGAATTTCGAGAAAATAATTAAATGAAAAATACCGATTTGTAACTTCAACGCCCTGTATCTCAGAATCTGTTCATCAAAGAACTTTACGATTCTGCAGGTTCAATCAGTTTATCGAATTCTACAACATACTGAAAATTCAGGAAATTCTACCGAGAACCATTTTACGTACTAAAAGTGCGGGGTCCTTTATCTCAATATATTTAGAAACTCCCCTCTTCATACTATGTGCAGCCACTATTTAATAAGTGACAATAACTAATATTGATATTGTTGTATTGCTCTCAAGCTTTTCACTAATGCTAGTTTTATTATGTGAACTGTGTTACATCATTCTGAGCTTTTTCTATTGTGGATGATAAATAGATGCGAATAATGTGAATATTCTGAGGCGATAGTATAGTTGCTATATTTGCGTTCCCTAGGCGAGTAAAAAAAAGGTTGAATTTCGAACATCTCAGTGGTATATATCGATAAATAGTTGTTTGTTCGCAATGGTTCGCATTTTCCATTATGAAAATCATATTTTTGATACAGAAATCCGTACCGGATAAAATTTTTTATAAAATACCCATCGTATGAAAAGTTGCAAAATTTATAAACTTATATATTTCAATTCCTTTCTCAAAAACGCGAAAACACCTGCAGATAATAAATCGGAACTTGATTTATGATCAATTAACCTAGAATCATCAAGGATGCATATAGATAATTGGAGTTCTTGTATTCAACTTTCGTGAACCAGTGGCCATATATATTCCTTCATAATGCCTTTAATCGATGCTCAAAACACCTATGATGTCCAATTTTGAAAAAAAAGTACCTAATATCCTCTTTATTCCAGAGAAGACCACACTGAAGTAATAGAAATAGATTATGATCCAAAGAGAATTAGCTATGAAGATTTATTAGAACTATTTTGGAACTACCATGAGTATGGATTGACAACGATTGTAAAAAGACAGGTAATTTATTGTGATGTAATGTGTGACTGAATATTCGAAATCATCATTATTTCTGGAGGAATAAGTAGGAAGGATCTGAATGACTATGGACATATTTCATACAAACAGCCCAAAATTTCTCAGCCGTTCAAAAATTATAACTAGGCGGTTTACTTCATGGACAATTATTTTGTCAATTCAGCGAGATATTGCCTTTATGCGTTAACTATTGGACACCCCTGTATATTGATTGGATAATATTTTCATTTCAGTACATGTCGTTAATATTATATCATAATGAGGATCAAAAAAGGGTAGCTGAAATCTCTCTGAAAAAAGAAGCACACAAACGGAATGAGAAATTGATCACAGAAATTGCACCTGCCGGACCATTTTATCCTGCTGAAGAGTGAGTTGAATTCTGATTTTATTATGATTGATTGGAACAGATTCTTCACGTTTATTTTCGAACCGCTCATTGAGTTTCTCATCGTTGTGAAAAATTAAAATGGATGTCCGATAATTAGCGTGACTGTGGATTCGAGGACCAGAAATATGAAGGAAAGTTTGAATGAATATGGATCGAAAAATTACCTTTAAGCCTCTCCTAGGAGGCTTCACTGAAGATGTTTTCTTATTATTATTTCCGGAACGGTTGGAGATGAGACACTCAATATAATTTGGAATGTTCACCTCACTTATCATGATGAATTCAAAAATTTTAAAGACATTAGAAATTGGTTTTCTGATTTCAGTATTGACAATTCTCAGTGACAGATGATGTTGATACAAACATATATGAGTTACAAAATGTTTCTATTGAATCATCTTGAATTTACCATATTCTTCTATTCCGATTTTGGTAGTGAATACTCTGTTCTATGTATATCAACTGAACAGGAAGCTCAGTGAATTCAAGATGATTCCCTGATTATTCTCTTCTGGTTGTTATCTTCTTTTCCTATAATTTCAACTCATTCCACTCTGCCAACTTGTCAATTTTCAGTGATGATTTTCCAGCTAGTTTCAATTCGCTGACGAAAATATAGGAAGACAATTCTGGGCTACATAAAGTATGTAAAAAAATCAATTATTCATTATGTCAATTCCGGAAATATTGATAAAACACCATCTCTAGAAGAAGCTGTAGCTCCCTTAAGTGCAGTTCTCTAACCCATCTTCATTGCAGCTTATTATTCTCTTATTTTTGATCGAGAAATCTACTGCCACAGTATTTATTGCACGCTAATCATGGGACAACTCTCTCTCGGAATATTCAAGTTTGAAAAATCTTCAATCGCAAGCATTGGCGCTTTTATACTGGTTGAATCATGAAATCCACTTTGTTAGGTGAATTTTCTGAAAGTTGAAGATATCTCCTGAAGGATATAGAGAGTTTTTCAGTTGAAATATTTGTGAACTCCTAGGATATACCTACCGGAAGTACTGGAAGTAGCTACAACCTCATATTTTATGAATCAATCAGGATCAATGGTTCACATTGACCTTTTGTTCCACGTCACATCTTACAATTCGCGTGAATGATCCTGAAGTAATAGAACGTTTTCTGATACATGTCATCTACTTAACTATTTCGATGTATAAAGTTGGCACCTATCTCTCATATTTGTCAAGAACCAATATATATGCCGTTGATTTTAGACACCCTAGTTCGCATGCATATTCCTATTTTTGCATGTTGTTAGGCTAAACCAAGTTTGCAGCTTCTAAATAGCTAATGAAAGTGTGGTGCTCAAAAAACCTCGACATTTCCCGAAACATTTCGGTTTTAAGAGCAAAATTCCTGCGAGGCGGCTTCCAATAAAGAAAAAGTCAATCAGACCTTATTATTTTGACCTTTCGTGAATCTGGATAAATTCCCTACAATTTGAGTTCATTTTTATTCTTGTGAGTCCAATACAACCAGAGATACAGCAACAAAAATTTTTTTTTTTCTGAAAAAGTTGAAAATTCCTCTAATACCCATCCTAGGGGGAAGTTTATGAAGAATAAAGTTCCAGTGTATTTATATAGCTTTAATTTATGCTTATAATGAAAATAAAGAATTTAATGATACCAGACGATTAGATTTCAGTTAAACCAGCATATATTTTAAGGAAGCGAAAGAAAACAACAAATGTATAGGTATCTATATTATATATCATGTTTTTAATAAATAAACATATGCATGCGACATTCTAATGAACTAATAAAAATGAATGAGATCAAATGATACTTGAATTTTCAGAGAGAAGAATCTGTATTTATAGTTCGACTAGGCAAAGATATCCTGGAACGAAATGGAGAGCGCGCGTTAAGGTGTTCTGTCCTCGTGGTCTAGAGAGTATTTGAATAATTCGGTTTTGCAGATGACGACGCTTTAATCAAGTATGACTGACTGCACTCTTGAATTGATATCAACATTTCTAGCGAGTGTTTGAGATACCTTTTTCAAATGGAAAGTGAGTTGATGATCGAAACATTTATACATTTTGTGCTCTGTTCGATAAAAAGGGTGGCCCAGTTGACCAGAACATGCAGCGGCTTTATCACTACTGCATTTCAAATGTTCTATGTTTCATCATAGAGTTGTTCCCATCAGAGATATAGCAATGAAATCAAATGAAATCACAGACTTAGATCAGTGATGCAGCATCAGATTTCAATTAGATGTTGAATAATCTAGATTATTCAACATCTTTTTTTAGAGGGCCCTGCTTTGTCGTGGAGGCAATCAATGGAGCCGGGTCATCGATATCGGCCTCATCGTTGGATTCCTTCAGTTCGATGACCGGTTTCTTCTGGCATAGTTTGCCTCGGCTAGTTGAGCAGAGTCCGGAGCATACGAGATCTGCTTACCTGCAAATGTACCCACACCTGCAGCCTTATTTCTTGCATTCACTGGAAATCAGTTTGAGGAGTATGAGTGGAGCTGGTTTCCAGTTAACCAAAACATGCAGCAGCTTGTTTCATCACAGAGTTATTCCCATTAGAGATATAGCATAGATGAATGTCTGCCTCAAATGAAATCACAGACTTATATCAGTGATGCAACATTAGATTTTAATAAAATATGCTTCTGTGAGATCACAGTGATGACTATGATTCTACATAGCTTTTTCTATGGAGCATGCCTGAGACGTTTTTGACAAATCAGTGCTCTGCATTGACTCCATCCCTTATCATCCATAAATTTATTCTAGTTCCACCAGAATTCGAATCAGTTTCAAATGCAAAACCATGATATTCAGGATATGTTCTTGGAATTTCAAATGTTGCTCTTCTGAAATATCAACAATTGTACCTCCCTTGGCAGTCCCCGCGAGATTAACCCGTCGAGTTGAGGCTTCGCACCCCTTCGTGGTCACTTTGGAGACCTGCAGAACATCTCTTTTCAAAGACTCGTTCATCCATCGAACTGCGAGGCTCTGGAACACATTGCCAAGGGAGGTGTTCTCCGAGGCATATAACCTCCAGAAATTTAAGGAGAACACCAAATTTTTACCTTATTTTCCATGGTTCTCACGATTTTCTCTGAACATTACAGGGTATCCCTTTTTGTGGGAACCAGAACATAAAAAAACGCTGTAAACAGCTGAAGAGGAAAGAGATGGAATATAAGGTTATTATTCTGTACTGCTTCATTGAACCAGTGCAGACATATATTATTATTTGAAACCCAAACACCAAAGGCATATTCTGCTCATTTTGTAGTTATATGATATTAAATCATTGAAAGTATTTCCATGAAATGAATATTGGAATTTGAAGCTTTGAAAAACAATTGAGACGTCTTCTCGTCTTTGGGCAACTCAAATAAATGTTGACCATCATTCTTCGAATTTTTGCAATTAGTTACCGAACATGACATATTCGAAAACATTCTCGCGGATACGCCTATTCAATTCTCAATCTGAGAATGATGCCAATTCGGAAATGTCAATTGTTTCCACACTCTTTGAAGGGTGTGAATGAGATTTATGTTCGAGACACTCTAGTCTAAGCTGAACAAACAAAGTTGTTTCATTCATTTATTTGATTATCACAAATATTTTAGATAGTTCACAAATATTTTAGATATAGAGATTTTCATCCATTGACAGTACCCTCAAGATTCAGAAAATTCAGAAATTTCAGAAAACTAACCAACGGTTTCCATGAATCAGCCTGTGCATGTACTATATTATTATAATATATATACCTACTGGTAAAGTGTAAGTTTATTGATGATTATTCTCTTTTTCATTGAAGTTACCACCAGAAATACCGATTGCAAAAATATAAATGGGTGTGCGACGAAATTGGACTAACTCCAGAACTTCTACAAACTTCACATGTGGCAGCACGCCTGAACGGTTATGTAGCTGGCGTTGGAAAAGAAGAACAGTTTGAAGAAGACGTTGTGAGTTTTGGGCTTCCCAAAACAGTTGCTGATTTTGTAAGGAACCAAATGAAAGAAAATTATGGGGGGAATTTGTATTGCTAATTCAACATTTCGAATACTGTTTTGTACAATATAACTATTATGAAGAATGTTTCGTAATTCCTTCCCCTTCGCTCTGGCTTGAACGTTTAGGAAAACCTATTGTCGCAAATAAGAAATGATTAATTGATTTTCATTATGATCACTCTGTGCTTCCTCATTGTGATGAAATTATCCAGTCTGATTGGTGACTGATAAATTCACGAAATCCCAAAATTATACTCATTATGCTTATCAGTGATTTTATCAGAATTTGCATTCGTATTTTCTTGAAACACATATTATGAATCTACTTCAGGTAGGTATATAATGAGTGATCGATTTGAATGTCCTAAGTTTCATTGAGCATGATTTTTTTATAACTAGTATTTACGTTTTGCATAAGAATGAAATGTCTATTGTATCTTTTACTTACTTATTCTTGGTCATGTTATATTCACAATGCGAATGATATCCGCGTGATCAAAAATCTCATCGATATAATGTAGGTAATATACGTCGAAGTGCCAATAAATTTGGATGAACAAATATTTGGAAAGCTTAGGAATCATTAATGATAGACAATATATGGCTTTCACCACTGTTGGAGATCAACTGGAGAGATATTTACTTGCTTACGTCACCCATATTTGGTAAGCTTCATTAGAAAAACATGGGGAATATCTAGCTGCAGCGTTGGATATATCGAAATAATTCCACCGTGTTTGGCACCACAAACTACCATCATAGTGTAAGAGCCAGCGCCAAAAAGATTCTCTTCTCTGAATTTACTAAGCCTAGTTTTTTCACAGTTCATTACAATGGTTTCGTACACAAACATACTGCGGTCAGTCAAGCGAAACTGAGAACAGGTGTCCCTGGTATACTATCGAAGTTTTCGTTCCTACCGAGGTAATTCAATATGTAGGTATATTTACGGAGGGTGAAAATCATTATACACATTATTGTATATTGCATATGAATGTGAAAGTCAGTCAGCTGACTGAGGGGACGGGAGCTGGTTAGTCAGCCCCAATGTATGCAAAAAATTAAAGAATTGCAATTCATTTACCACACTTCAAAATTTTTGTGAGGATATTTGTTGTTATATCAATCATGAAAAAAAATGGTCAGTCATCGATTCTGCGCGACAATGCCCGTCAGTCAACAAAAAAAGAAATACAAATTTCGCGCGCGATCGCCGTTGCAGGCGGCGACTCACTCTTTTCCTCATGATTATTCAACGAAATCGATTGATTGACAGGTTAGCATATTCAATCTCAAGCAACCTCTGGATCTTCTTGGAGAAGATGAATTTTCTGAATAATAGATTGGTTACACTAGATACAAATCTCTCTAGAAAAGCCGATCTCACTGTGCCTAACATAAGCTTGGTATTACTATCAGCAATAACCTTTCTTGGGAAAATCACGTGAGATCAATTGCTAAAAGTGCATCCCAAAAATGTGATTTTCTGTTTCGGGCCAGGAGCTGCTTATGATCTATAAGGCACAGATCCGACCTGTCCTGGAATACTGTTCCCATATTTGGAGTGCAACACCCAAACATACCCTGAAACTGTTGGATTTCGTCCAAAAAAGGGCAATTCGTCTCACTCACTTCTCTGGAACACCGTAGGGAAGTTGACGATCTGGCTCTATTTTATAGATATTTCAATGAACGATGGTCTTCTGAAATATCAACAATTGTTCCTCCCTTGGCAGTCCCTGCGAGATTAACCCGTCGAGTTGAGGCTTCGCAACCCTTCGTGGTCACTTTTGAGACCTGCAGAAAATCTTTCCAAAGACTCGTTCATCCAACGAACAGCGAGACTCTGGAACACATTGCCAAGGGATGTGTTTCCCGAGGCATATAACCTCCAGAAAGGAAGAACACCAATTCATACCTTATTTCCCTTGGTTCTCACGATGTTCTCTGAACATTAGAGGATATCCCTTTTCGTGGGAACCAGAACATAAAAAAATTCATCTTCTATCAATTTCTACGACATGTAGCTGTTTTTTCTTCGGTCGTCGGTTCTTCATCGAGTCCCGCCATAGTTTGTAATTTGAAAGAAAAGCACAAGCGAAACAATTCGATCCGGACGATTAGCTATTTTTTTAGAATTGTTCATATTCATATGATTTAGATAAGAATGAGAACTTGGAAAACGCAGGACTGTAAAATGACAAAATTCAATTTATACGAGTTTATTCTGTGGATAAGTATATAAGTATTTTTACTAGCCATCAATATAGTAATAGGGCGATTGTGAGTATAGTCAACCGAGCATTGAATATGTATATACTTAGATTCTGAAAATAAATTAATTCCTCTCTAATGATTGAATTCGTTTCAGGGGGGCGGGTCAAGTGGTTCAGACCTCCTATATTTATATAAATATATGGTGGGTGTTTCCTAAACATTGGCACAACTTTGGGAGGTGTTTCCTGAGGTATTTGTATGAAAAAAAAAATCCTTCATTCAAATAGGACAACCTGAAACGATTTTTCCTCACTATATTTTCAAAACCCTTTATCCAAAAATCATTGAATTTGATACATCTGATGTTGAATCAAAATTTAACTCCGAATTTTAAAATTTCGATCGCATCATGCATATTGGCTGGAGTGCGTTTATTTAAGGTTAAAATCAATTCCATGTGTTCATAAGATCAATGATGAGATGAAAATTTATCTGAGATCAGTGGGAAACAAGATAGCCAAATTAATTGATTCGACAACAACAAACGTAGTTGCGGTAGCTGTCGAGGTCAAAAATCGTCTGTCTGTTTCACTTGTTATATCCAAAAAGTTCTGGGGGCGCTCGCGCCGGCCTCAACATCAAACTCTCGGACTCGTTCAAGCAGACATACAGGGAGGATGAGTTTAGTGAATAGCATTACAATAAAATTAAGAATGAATATCACCAACTAACAATTACAACACAAGACAACTATGAAATCATGATGGTGAAAACAGAACAACATTTTTGTGTTTTTTTTATATTCTGGTAACAAAATTATGATACTAGAAGGTATTGAAGAGGAATATTCTCAGATAAATTATAAATATATAAAAATGGATATATTATGTAAATGGAGCAATACATTGAGAATTCGCATTCTCTATGTGATGAGAATATCGACTCTTTTTCAGTTTATTCAATAGAAAACAACTACTTTTTTGGCTATATGCCACGACGAACATTGAATTATATATCTTCCGTTCGATGTCAAAATGACTAACGTCATCATCAAAGAGCGTTTTCTGTGGAGGAGTTGATGTATCGGGTAGGTATAAATTTACTGACTCTGTATTTGAATTATTCAACTGATTTTTTAATTATTATTCTATCTTCTAATCTCCTTTTTCTTTTTCTTTGAAAACAGTGGTCATTTTCCATTTTAGAATATGTCCCGTATGATCAGAGAACCCTGAGTTTGCAACATTAATGGAATAATCATTAATATTTGTGATTATATAAAGGGTGTTAGCTAAGCATGAGGATCTCGGTAACCTTGAGACAGAGTAGGTTGAGTTAGGACAATATTTCATGCCCAAAAAAATGCTGCTTTGAAATTGGAAAAATTTCAATTATATCCGGAGATATCCGTAAAAAAGGAAAATTCGTTTCAATTCAAGAAACTCAGTTTATTTGAAGAACTATTTCAAAAAGGGATGTCATTTCATCATTGCCACTTTTCCTCTACAAAATGAAATTGTCAAATTGGAAACCGGCGTTTTTCTTAGAAAAAATATTTATTTGTAGTTATAATCTTTATGAAAATATGCTCACTCTTGACAAAGCATACCCCATCCCTGGAGTCAAAAAATGTCTCCTCTGCATGCCATTCCATTCCTCCCATCGGGCATTAATTGGCTGGACTAATTAATTCTTCAATTTCATAATGTTCTTTCATCTTCTATTGATCACTTCATTTATTGCTCCAATTTCGGAACCGCCCTGTTTAATGTTTATTAGGCACCAACTCCCTAGTTGGGTTATATTGTTATTTTAGACAGGTAAAAGAAGTTTGCTCGATAGTTCAAGTTCAGAAAATCAACTTGGCCTATTGAAGACCAGTTTATGTGAAATAGGGTTTGATAAGGAAAACTCTGATTGAAACATTTTACAGAAAGTTTATTCATTTTTAATGAGATGTATAAAATTTCAGTAAAAAATAAATGAGCTATCACACTATTTTGGAATGTAATATTTTTATAATACATGCATGGTTTAACATCTAAAACGGTAGGTATTTTGGGTTTTAACAATGACAGATACTCATTTGGAAATTTGTATACCGCTATAATCGGTCAGGTCCTGTTGGTCAATGAAAACATATTTTTAACCTGACGAGCACTTCTGGTTATCAGATTCGTCATTCCTCATTGTTAAAGTCAAAATATCTACTGCAATTGTGCGTTCTAGATGGAACAGGGTTTATTCAAATTTCGAAAGTCGATTCAAATAATATTCAATCAGAAAAATAAAAAAGGTTAACATTCATTATATCTAAAATATCACAACTTTCGAACTCTCCGAATACATTTCAGTGAACTTCAATAATCCAAATAAGTAGATGAAACAAAGTAATGAAGGAATACGAGAGGAAATATTCTTTTTTCAAATAAGATGGACGTAACCAAAACCCTGAATTCTAAAAAATTATATACATAAATGAAAATGTAACAGAAAAAATAGTTTCCAAATATTTGAAACGGAGATATTTCAATTCATTTTTTGTCTATCAAGAGCAGAGATACAGAGAGGTTAGGTAGTAGGGTTGATTTCCCAAGCACAAGTGTTACTCAATTCTCACATATTTTGAGTAATTGGAATATGTTTCAATAAGGTTATTATCCCCTCCATCAGTACACATTTTCTATCCACCCTTGTTAACAATAAGTACAATCTGTGCAAACAGCATTACATATATTATTGCTTCGAGTCAAGTGTCAAGTCAATACTTTCAAGGTACATATTATCATTAACTATGTATAGATTGCAGGTGAAATTTTAACTATTCTAAAAAAATATGCATATACACATTTTCATTACATCTTCT